ATATGTATATGTATATGTATATGTATATGTATATGTATATGTATATGCACAGGTGGGATTCAAATTTCTTGACAACCGGTTCTATGGGCATGGCCTAATTTGTGGGTGTAGCTTGGTGGTCATGTGACTGGGTAGGTGTGGCTTGCTAACTGGGAGTGACTTGGTGGTCACGTGACTGGCTGGGCGTGGCTTGTATGTAAATATTGTAAAAGAAATTATGTAAATATTGAATTTTTTATTTAAAAAAGAGCAACTTTTACCCAAAATCAGGCAAAGCAGATTCACTCATAGATCTACCTTTCTACAGTCTGCTGCCTGAGTCTGCACTGAAAAATAGAAGCTTCAGTCCTAAGGAAGGTTCAGTTCTACTCTCAAGCCACTTCTCCCCCACCCCCCAACCCCCTGAATACCACCCCTGACTGGGCCTCAGGAAAGCCTCCTGGATGAAGGCAAAGCAGTACAACAATGATTTAGATTAGCTAGAAAGCAAGAAATCCAACAGGAGGGGACAGCCAGTGACGTGATTTGCCAGTTCTCCGTACTGCACAGAATCGTAACAACCGGTTCTATAGAACTGGTCCGAACTGGTAGAATCCCACTCCTGTGTATGTGTGTGTGTGTGTGTGTATGTATATGTATGTTTTCCAAAATGAGTGTTTTTCTTTAGTTTTATCATTTGGCATTTGCTCCTACCCTTAAGAGCCAGGCATTCCTGCAAATATTTGGTTCTGCTTCCAAATGATGTTTTGTCTACAAAAAGATCCCACTTCAAAGGATGACTTCGCTCTTCATACAGTACCAGTAACTGCTGACTTGATTCTCACACGATCCTCTGTCCTATAAGGTGAAAAGGCTAAAGGACTATTTTTCAAACTGGCTTTTTAAAAGGAATTCTCGGGTATCAAGCTCAGGCATTATCCAATGTTGCAAACATTATTGCTGAATTTAGATGTTCTAAATCAGTCTTTCTCAACCTTGGTGAATTTAAGACGTGTGGATTTCAACTCAGAATTCTCCAGCCAGCATGCAGCCAGCATAATGAATTCTTATTTATGGCAACTGTTAGATCACCATTGCTCCCAATCTTTTCATCCCTCAAAGATTTTAAAAATATTTTTAATTCTTATTTTTCTTCAGATCTAAACATAGGGCTTGGCTTTATGGAGTAATCATAAAGCATCACAAACCTTCCTTTAAGATAATGGTGAAGCGCTGATGTCCTGGGTTTAACTCAGGGCCTCAAATGCAGAATACAGGTGATCTGTCAAGAGTGGTGAAAATTCCAGATTTCATCCTTTCCTGCCTACTGCATCTATTTTTGGACTGGGCGAGGGGAAGAATGCAGAAAGAAATATACAATACCTACTGCATATGTGTATTTTTATATTCTACAGTTTATATTAAATTGCAAAAAAATGGAATCAGCCCTGAGTACTACATGCCTTTTAGATTTGGATAAGACCACTTCCTCTCTGACTTGCTGTCTACTTTCTTAAAGGCCAGCATGGCAAATAGCATAGCTATGCCTTACCCAACCATTGTGCTGCTTTGTCGGCTTTCAATAGCCCTCCCTGCCTTTTGCTTAAGGTTTGCATTTTGGAATTTAAATACCAAAGTGCTCCTTAATTAAAGGCTTTATGGGTTTCTTCAGGCTAGCAAACCAATTAGTGTCAGTTTGTCCAAGAAGGAATTGATGTGGAGAAAAAATGATTTAATATCACAGTTGCAGTGAAACTGATGCAACAAAACTGCAATTTTTTAACAACATAACTTGACTAAGACGGTATGCTGTAAAAGTGCCCTAAAAGAGCTGTCTTTTCTGATGTGATGAAATATCCCATTCTAGTTCACATTTAAATGATTTGAATGTAAAGCACTGTAGGAAATTATCACCCAACCCCTCCTAGAAAAATGAAATATCCTAGGAAATTTTTAAAAGGCAGAATATTTCCCCTAAAAAGAGTAGAAACTCAGAAGCAGAAACTCACCTCAGAAGCAGAAACTCATCCCCCCCAACCTTTGCTAATGGGCCATTACTCTGACCTAGGCCAGCCTATTTTACATAACAAAGATCTCCAGGTAGCCCAAAGCCCTTTCATCATCCAGCAAGGCTCAACCAAGCCTGGAATTCAGGACTGCCTACAGAGTTGCCCCTGCATGGCCCCATGGGAGTCTGACAACCAATCAGAATGCAAGCTCAAATTCAAATCCCAACAGAGAGTATAAAACCCAGGCACACTCAGTATATTAGCCCTCCCTTCTTTTCTTTTTCT